CCAACAAATCTGGAAACTTGTGACCTGCAATTTTTTTTATTTGTGACCAATAAAATAAACCGTGACCTATAATTTGAAAATTTGTGACCAATTAATTTGAAAATATGTGACTGTGTGACCTATAAACTTTGATCTGTGACCAACTAATTTTGAAATCTGTGACAAACGAATTAATGTGACCTATAAAATTTTTGAACTGTGACCGTAAATTGTAAATATGTGACCAAAATGGTCACCAGAATAGTCGTTGGAATAATTTTCGAAATCGGAGCAGTCGCCGGAACGGTCGCGCGGAGAAGAGTGGTGGTCTGAATGGTCGCCGGAAGAGTTCCAGGAGCGGTATGGGTGGTGTATGTGGGTGGGTTAATTATATTATATTAGAATTAAATATTTAATAATTTATTATTTCATAAATAAATAAATAAATCCTGATTTTTGAATTGGTGTAAAGTATACACTATATTTATGAATTTTTCCCCTCAATTAAAATCCTTGGAAATTTGGCAAAATGGAGCCCAATAAATAGGGTTGGGCAAAAATCAATATGAACCAGGCAAAACGATCAACACAACCCAAACTAATCGATTTGGATTGATTTTTTTAGTTCAATTGGGTTAGGTTGGATTCGGGTTAGGAAATCAAATTTTAGGTCGGGTTGGGTTGGTTTTCGGGTTATTTATTAAAACCCAACCCAATAAATTTAAAAAATATTAAAATGAAAATTAGTACTTAAAAACCAAAAACTTAAAACCTAACAATCAAAATTCTCATCTGCCTCACATCTCTTCTGCTTCTCATTGCTGCTCCTGCCTCGGCTTTTCAACTCCATTTTTTGACGTAATTTTTGACTAAACAATTGGATTGAAGGAGGAGATTTTGTTTTAAGTTTGGATGATTTAACATTTTTAGTATTTAAATTGAATTCATTTTATTCAATATGTATAATATCCAAGTATTCAACATGTATTTAGATTAATTTAATATATACTTAATTTGACCATGATATAATCTATTTAACATGTTTTACAATATTTTTAATTTCTATTATTCTATTGGAATGAAACTTAATCCCACAGACTATTGATCAAATTTCAATCGACTTATGGTCTTTCAAATCACCATTTTAATGTAATTGAAATTGGTCCAATTGAAATGATATCAAACTTTTAAAAAATTGTTCAAATTTAACGAAAAATGTCACAATGCCATAAAAAAAATTGTCCAACTTGAATTGGACTCAAGTCCAAATCAATCATCCCAACACAAACCAACCCGAGTTTGGTCGGTTTGGATTGGGTTGGAGTTCAACTGTGAA